ACATTCTCTAGTGACCAAGCATTTATATATATGAACCCGTGGGGACCATTCTCGTTCAGACCGCCACAGCTGCCTACACCGAGAGCTGGCAGGAAGCCAGTTGGCTAATCACAGTATACTTCTGTGACTTTGCTGTTGGTGATGACACTATCCATCGAGTGCTGGTGTGAGCATTCTCTCCCTCCTGGGTTTCTGTCCCTTAAAGACTGCTTCAGCCAGCTGGCTATGAAGTCTTGACTTTGACCTCTAAAGGGCTCTAATGCTGGTTTCCTATTCACAGTTCACCTTGGCCCTTACAGGATTCACGTAGAAGGATCACTGCCAGGTGCTAAGCTGAAAATGGAATAGAGGGAGGAAAAGAAAGGCCACTTTGTGACGTGTGGCACATTTGTTTGCGCTAAGTGAAGGGTTACAGCCACATTTCCAGCTGCAAAAGTAAACAAAGCTCACAGCAGCTAAGGAGGCCGTGTGGAGGTCTTGCTGCTTTCTTTATTCCCCTGCTCTGAATGGGTGTGCATATTAAACTAAATATGGTTCATCAGTGATGGGGATTCCTTCTGAGAAACCTATCAGTAGACGATTTGTTATGCGCACAATAGAATATCCTACATCAGTATAGATGTTATAGTCTCCCTTTCTACCTAAGCTGTGTGCTGTAGCCATCCTGCTAGATAATAAACCTATGAACAATGTTCCGGTACTGCTGCCATGGCTACTGTAACGTAACAGTCTTTGTCTGTCTGCACATAGGAAAGGTGTGGTAAAATACTAGGTGGTGGGAAGGTTTTTTTTTTTTCCATTATAACCTTTTTCCCACTGTAATCTTAGGGAAACTACTATATGCAATTTATCTTTAACCAGCATATTGCTATGCAGCTCATGACTGTATCAGCCTCAGCAATTAAAGTATAATAAGAAATGCTCAGAAAACCCTAGGCTTTCCCTCCTTGATAGCCTCAAATTTTATCCCTAGCAAATTTTTATAACCTGAAAATCTAATGGGAAGCACTATCTGTGGGAAAATTGTACCATAATGATGTGGCCATATTCAAACCTTTTTTTTTTTTTCATACAAACTCATTTTAATTCTCCCAGTGATGCTGGCCTCAAAAGAGAAGCTGAGAAGCCTTCTCATCTGCTGTAGGGTTTTGTCCTGTTGGTATTGGTTTTTGTTTTCGTTTTTCTTAAATGTTTGCTGTTCACTAGTGAGGATGTGTGGGCCTGCAGCTCTCTTTGTAGGAAAGCTGTTTGTTTTTTATTGTGGGAAAATACACCTAAAAGAAGATTTACCATTTTGATCTGTCTTAAGGGTGTGGTTTGCAGGCATTGGGCATTCATGTTGTACAGGCATTACTAGTACCCATCCCTACCAGCACCCATCCCTACCAGCACCCATCCCTAGGACTTCTCATCTTCCCCAGTGGAAGCTGCACCCAGTTTCTCGGTCCAGCTTGTTCTGTTTTTGATTCATGTATGTGGGTTTTGTTTGGCTTTGCTTTTTGAGACATAGTTTCACCAGGTTGGCCTTAAACCTTTGCTACTCTTACATCAGCCTCCTGAGTGCTGGAATTACAGGCATGTGCCACCGTATTTGATGAGCTTCATTTTACAATTATGTATCTTTAAGGTGTGCGGTAAGACATTTTCACATCACTGCATGTGTGTAGTGAAATCTCAGTTACCCTTTGTGTGAGTGTATGTACGTATGTGTGAACATGTACTTTTTAAAATTAAATTTGAGGCTAGCATATAAAGTATTGAATTTCATCATGGCATCCTCATACATGGGAAGAACACAAGCTTTTGGAAATCTGTGTTGGACCTTAGCGCTCTAGGATGCTCCGCCCACATACACCTGAATCTGCTCTCGCTGACTTCACTCCAATTTCCATTTGCTGACCTGTGCCTGCTAGCATTTGCACTTCCCGTTCCCTCTGCAAGCCCCACTCTGCTCTGTCACTGGATCTGACTGCTCTAGGGGCCTCCTCTAATAAGCACAGTAAGGCACACTCGCTTTTGCAACGGCCCTGTTTCTAGCTCCAGTGTCTTTAAGATCCAGCTGTATCGTAACCTGTCACAGTACAGTGTTGGGTGTTCCCTGTTCCTCCTTCAGAGAGCACTTCAGGTTACTTTACTGTCTACAGTGCCACTGTGAATCTGAGCGTACAGACATCTTTTCCCGTCTCTCCCTGCTTTCCTTCCTTCTGGATGTATACCCAAAAATGGAATCTCTGGCTCTGGGTCTAATTTTTGGGAAGTTCACTGTACTGTTTCCATAGCAGCTGCATCATTTTACATCCTATCAGAGTGTGTAAGGGTTCCAGTTTCCTCATGTCTTTGCCAGAACTTGCATTTTCTGATTTATTTTTTACCTATATGTGCATGTATATGGACACACATGCACACACACACACACACACACACACACACACACACAATATGTGTTAGTCATCATGGTCCTGTTTTTATTTAAATTATAGACTCATTTAATAAGTTTAGTCCTGCTTAAGGTTTTTTTTTAACTTGTGATGTTTTAGAAAGTTATTATAGGTAAGTTGTTTTCAACATTATTTATCCCATAAATAAATAAATAAAAATTGTCTATAATGGTCATTTAGTTTTTCAGTATCTATGAGGTCTTTTTATTCCTCTATGTCAAATAAGTACCGTTTTTATGCAGTCAATCAAACAATCCACAAATAGCAGGGCTCTACTTCTAGAAGCTGGCGGTTTCGCTTGAGAAGTTTAAATACATTAAAATTATGAATTTAGAAGATGTTTATGTTTCTGTTAGCTATATTAGTTATTTATTTAATTAAGAAGATAAACAGCAGTGCAGCACCAGATGTGGCTATTAAATATGATAAGGAAATGAAAGAAATAGATGTCTGTGTGGTTAATTAAAGAAGCAGCTGCCTAAACAAGGAAGCTGCCACATGCTCAGGCCCTGGCCGTGCTGAGCTCTGACTGCCAGCCAGCAGCCTGCAAGGCTCACACTCCTGGCATTTTGCTCATAGCCGGTCTGGTTGTGTCTTTTTGTGTGTGGTCATTTACAGTGAGAGAAGCTTTGCCTTCCTTCCCTTTACTGAGCAGCAGCTAGTGTCACATGATCGCTGGAATCACATTTAGGCTTTCCTGGGTGGGAGCCACTGTTTGTATCATTTCGCACTTTTGAGCATGAATTACCCGTCTTTGTGGGTGTGATCAGTTTCTGCTCTCCGGCATTAGAGGACATTTTATGAATATATTTAATGCAGAAAGGTCTAAAGATAGTTTTGTAGGTACAGTTTTATTGGTGTTGTGTGGAGTGCTGACTGTAGAAAGAACAAAGACACATGATGGTAAAGGCAGGAGAAGGGAAACAAACCAAGAGCTGGGGCAAATACTGGCTGCTGCTCGCTGAAGGAGCTGGCCAGCCTTTACTGCTTGATGAAATCCCCATAGGAAAAGCCTTGAAAATTGTTGTGAAAGTATAGTGAGATGTTTTTGACATTCTGAAGTTCATTTTCAGCAGAATAGAAAGGGTGTTCACTACCTCCCGGTTTTATGCCTGCTGCCTTGGTGCCTGTTGTATACATGTCACTTAGCACCGTTTCTATGGACTGGCTACAGCAGTAGGCTGAGTGCTGTGAGGAGGAGCGCCTGAACCGCCAAGCAGCAGCGCGGCGTTCAGCAAGACTGTTTTTTGAACACTTTCCCATAAAGGCTTGAGAGTGACGTGTTTACTGGAATATACTTACGATGGCATAGTCTTTACAATTTAAATTGTCAACTTAATTGCCAATATCACCTTCAACTAATGATTCTTCTCTTGAGCTAAAATTGACACACACATGTTGTATGGGAAAATATACTTGCAACAGTATTATTGACCATTTTTTCATTTTTTTCTTTTTTCTTTTCTTTTTTTTGGTTTTTCAAGACAAGGTTTCTTTGTGTACCTTTGGAGCCTGTCCTGGAACTAGCTCTTGTAGACCAAGGTTGCCTCCAACTCACCTGCCTCTGCCTCCCGAGTGCTGGGATTAAAAGCGTGCGCCACCACTGCCTGGCTTATAGACCATTCTTAAAAGTATACATGTATTAATTGCTGATCCAGGAGCATGGAAGGTTTTTCCAGCATCTGGTATCTCTATGAGTTCCTTTTTCAGAAGTAGGTCTGTAACAGACCTTTTTCTTTTTTTAGTTAGATATATTTCTAAATACTTAATCTGAAAGGAATTTTGAATGGTATGTTTTCCTAATTTCTTTCTCTGAGAGTATATTTTTGGTATATGTGGAATCTGTCTTTTTAAAATGCTGATTTTTGTATTCTGCAATTTTATTGTAGGTGTTCATTAGGTCTAGGAGTTTTCTAGGGGACCAAATAGGATTTTTTAAGTAAAGAACCATGTTGTCTGCTAATAGGGATAGTTTGACTTTTTCTTTTCCTATTTTTATCTGTTTTATGCCTCCCTCATGTTGAATTGCTACAGTTCACACTTGGAGTATTCCATCAAATCAGAGAAGGGAGAGTGGACATCCTTGTCCTGGTCCTGATTTTAAGGAAATGCTCTCAGCTTGTCTCCATTTACTGTAACGCTGGCTATGGGTTTGTTGTGGGTAGCCTTTATTACTGTGGGACTCGTTGCATCTATTCCTGAAATCTCCAGAATTTTTCTCATGAATGCATGTTGAAATTTATCAAATGCCTTTTCAGCGTCAATTGAAAGAATTATGTGGTTTCTGTCCTTAAGTTTATTTATATGCTATATTATGTTTATTGAATTATTATGTTGAACCAACCTTGCCTTTTGGGATGATGCCCACTTGGTCATAATGTATAATCTTCTTATTGTTTCCCTAAATTTGGTTAGCAACTATTTTGTTGACAATTTTTGCATCTGTGTTCCCCAAAGAATTCATCTGTAGTTTTCGTTTTCTGTTGTGTCCTTGCTGGTCTTGGCAAACTGTTTTAATTCATCCTTGTTGACTGATTAATTTACCTGTTTGTGACTTTGCAGGTCCTGTTTAGTATGAATGTGATTTGGAGAAATTGTATTTGTCGTCTGAGGCGAGGGAAGGTACCACACAGATGCCAGAGTGGTGTCCACCCAGTGGCCCCTCTGGGGTCACGGATTTTAACTGATCCAGCCAAAGTTTTCGAGCACAACATGTGGTGAGTTCTCCCACCCTGCACTTATTTATTTATTTATTATTTACTTATTTCTTTGGGGCACACATGCCATAGGGTACGCATGGAGGCCAGAGGACAGCTTTGGGAACTCTTTTCTCCTCACCCACCATGTAGGTTCTGGAAATCCAACTCTGATCAGGCTTAGCGGCAAGCGCCTCTGCCCACTGAACCATCTTCGCTGGCCCAAGTTTTACTTTTACATTTGATATTGTATATGCTTTTTAAATATATTTTTCTCATTGTTCCCAAAGAAGAATTGTATTATTTGGTTTTTGAGGCAGAGTCTCTCTTTGTAGCCCTGGAACTCTAGGTAGACCAGGCTGACCTTGAATTTAAGAGACCATCCGCCTCTGCCTTCTGAGAGCTAGGACTAGAGGCATGCACCACCACACCCAGCAAGAAAGGATTTTTTTTTTAAGTTGATGACCTAATCTAGGTTGTGGAAGTCCAGAAACCAGTGTAACATGTTGCTGATTCTGAACTTGTTTGCAAATGGACAGTGGCAGTTCCCTGGTACATCCATTAGCCTTGGCATCCTTGCAGGCCCCGACCCTGGCTGGCCAGTCTATTGATGGGGCCAAGGGAACAGGCCTTTTGGGGACTTTTGGGGACCCTTTTCCCTGTGGCCCTGTTGCTTTAACTTCCCATCCTTCTGCCCCAGTCTCCTGAGTAGCTTGTATTAGAGGCCTCAGCCCGGGCTGGAGCTCCTGGTGCCCCACGGCCCTCTTTGTATGTATGTGTCAAGTATCCTTTGCTCCTTAGCATGACCCTGCTTCGTGCTTTGAAGAAGACCATGCTATTGGGGAAGATGGGCGTTTATAAACAGGCTAACAAGTGCAACACAGTGCTTCAAATTCTAAGGGCTGAGTTTTATAGACTGTCATATAAGCAATAACTTGGGGGGATGAAGGGAAAGGGGGGAACTGTGGACTAGATGTAAAATAAATAAATTAACTAGATTTACAAAAAGAAACAACTTAGTAATGAGAAAGTTTGAACATAGGAAAGGAACTTCTTTTCTGTTTTTGAGACAGTTTCATGTATCTCGAGCAGGCCTTGGGCTTGCCCTGTAGCAGAGGCGGATGTGACCTTGACCCCTTGACTTTCTTGCTCCCGCCTCCCAAGTGTTGGGATTGCAAGATGAGCCACTACATCCAGCTAGGAAGATTTCTCAAATTGGGAAAACCTGAAATTCGGATTATTTATTTTGCCTTCAGTGCTTGGAACAGTATGTAACACAAAAGTATTTGTTGAGAGCTGAGTGTGGTGGTACGGGTCTTTATTCCCAGGAGACAGAGGCAGGCGGATCTCTGAGGCAAGTGTCTTTATAGCAAGAACCAGCTAGAGCTATGGAATGAGACCATTTCCACCCTCTCCCCACTGAAAGTATTTGTTGATATAGATCACATAGCTGGAGTAAGGGCGTCCTGCTGGGCAGAAACATAAAACACAGATGAGGGTGTAGAAGGCATTTTCAGGAGATGCTAAAGAAAATTGTCTGCTTTTGTTTTTTTCTTTTTAAAGGCTCTTCCAGGAGATCAATGACTCTGACCTCCAGAGTCTTTTCTCCAACGAGGTTGGGATGGTATAGGACAGAGGTGGATTGGAGCAGGCTGCCTGTGGGGCTGGACTCAGAGCTGATGTTCAGGCAGACACTAGGGTCCTGCATTGTTGATCGTGTCCTTGACAGTGAGGCCCACGAAGGAAGAAGAACGAGGAATTGGCAGAATAAAGGGAATGGAAGAATTTGATTTAGAAGTTTTGAACTTAGGTCACTGATAAAAATAGGTAAAGTCATAGTTTATTTCAGAGAGAAGATTATGTAGACATTCGAGATAAGCCTTGAGAAGACATTCGGCTTCGAATGTCCAAATACCATGCTGGATCACAGCCAAGAGCCGGGAAACGACTAGAATGCCTTGGATCCAGATCCCACTGCGGGGAAGGAGGTGATGTGTGTGACAGGCCTGAAGATGTAGCCGAGGAGGCTGCCAAGGGAGACTTAGCTCTCTGCACGGCCTGCTGTACAGCTGAGTTCTCTTCAGAGCTCCCTGCCGAGGGCGCTCGTGGCTTCACGCACAGTGCAGAAAACCATCTCAGGACCAGTTAGTCTGAAGCAAAATCAATGTTTATTCAGTAAAGTGTGGGATTTATGAAGAACAAAAATAATACATGTTAGGGGTGGGTGTAGTGGCACATGCCTTTCATCCTAGAACTTAACAAACAGGCAACCAGGTCTCTGTGAGTTTGAGGCCAGCCTGGTCTACATAGTGAGTTCTGGGACAGGATGTCAAATTATAGCTCAGGCTGTCCTAGAACTTGCTAGTAGCTCAGATTAGCCTCAAACTCACAAGCATCTTCCTGCCTCTGTCTTCTAAGTAACAAGATTACAGGTGTGAGCCATGCACATGATTTAAAAAGAAAAAAAAGTTAAACAGAAAGCTTGAAATTGTATATGTGGTTTGTATTATACTTCTTGACAATTCACAAAGGCAGATTAGAGCACCTTGACTGGCCGTCCCCAGTGTCTGCTCTTGTCGCCTATGAGAGATCATGGGTGCTCTCCCAAGCAAAGAGAGCTCCGGAGGAACTCCTGGCCAGCGAGCACATGGCTTCTCATGAGTCGCTAACCTTTCTTTCGGCTGTGTGCTCTCTTCTCCATCTTCCACCGCTGCCTGCGGAGCCCGGGATCCTTGCTTGCCGGCTTGTACGTCCAGCCTTATCATGGACTCTTGGTAATCCAGCAGCCTTTGGTCCTGGAGGGCTCACAGCTTTGAGGGCCTGGAGAGTTACTGAGTCTCTCAGCTAGAGACATGGAGACGTGGTCCAGGGCTTTCTGTCTGAAAAGCTCTAGGAGTACTAGACGCCTCATTCAGGAGACATTTTAACATGAAATTTCAATGTTTAAAAGGTGAAAACACGGGCATGATGGTGCACATCCATAATCCTAGCACCTGGGAAGCAGAGGCAGGTGGATTGCTTTGAGTTAAAGGCCAGCCTGGGCTATAAAGCCAAACCTTATCTCAAAAAACCAAGGCGAATGAGTGGGTAGATGGCTGTAAAAGCAGGCCGCTTTGAACAAAGCAGAGACTTAGGACGTGGGCACCTGCATGCCAGAAGAGGGTATTCAGTTCCGTCAAATGTGGTTGTTGGGAATTTAACTCAGGACATCTGGAAGTGCTGCCAGTGCTCCTAACGGCTGAGCCATCTCTCCAGCGCCCCTCCCCCTTATTTTTAAAATTTATTTTTGGGCTGGTGAGATGGCTCAGCAGGTTAAGACACGTCCCACCAAACCTGAGAACCTGAGTTTGATTACTGAGCCCCACATAGTGGAAGGAGAGAACTGACTTCTGCAGGCTGTCCTCCGACTTCTTTATACCACCCCATCACACAGACACACACAAACTTGTGCACAGCGTGCACACACACGCACAATCAATAAATGTGGCTTTCAACATTTATTATTATGTTGGCCTTTTGAGACAAAGTCTCACTGTGCAGCACAGAGTGGCTTCGAGTGCTGTCCTTCTGCTTCAGCCTCCTGCATGCCGTATTAGAGTGGTTAGCACACCACACTCAGCTTGGTTTAGGCTTCTCAGAAGATTTATAAGTTTGTTCTTTTTTCTCCAAGTCCACAGTTCTATCCAAAATCTCCTGGTTTACTCCTTGTCTTCTTTAGGAATGTGTATTTGTTTTGACATGTTTGATTTTTAAAAAGATTTCTAGAAAAGTGCAGTTTCTTGCATGGATCAGTGTGTGAAGACGGAGTCTAATGGTTAGTTTTACCCTCTGAGCTGTGCACCCATGTTTTCTGGGGATCCCCCCCTCCGCTGTTTCTGTTTCTAAATGTCACTCAGACTAGCTGAATTGATTTCATGACTCCCCAGAGGGTCACGACCTTTAGTTAAGAGAACACGGAGCTAAGGCATTCTCAGGAGACTCAGGTAAGACCTGGGTGTTGCAACATGACCTGTTACATAAGTCATGGGAATGATGGATCATTTCCAAGATCAGAAGAGGTACAGATGGTAGGAGTTCTTCTTCATTACACAATCTTCCTTATGTAATCGCTGTGTTTACTATCTGAGTCCATACCCTGTTGCAGCCTCAGATCTTTAATACAGTTAATCAATAAATACTTCCATTAGTTTCCTCTAGCATAACTTACCACAAAAGACACTATCTAGACATGTAGAACAGACTCAATAATTACCTAACTTTGAGAAGTCACTTAATCCATCTAGGGCTCAGTTTCTTCATCTGTGAGATGGATAATGATAATAAAAACTGCCTATCTGGTAGTGTAAGGATTAAATGATTCTATATAATGTAAAGTGTCTATATATAGGAAATAAGCAATATACCACCTAAGAGTTAGCTATCTTATTAGTATTATGATCTATGTATGTTTTACATGTATTTTTGGTTATGAGCTTAGCCTTTAATGGTTGAGCCATCTCAGCCCTGTACACTTTATTTCTACACTGTTTTCATGCTCATTGTTAGTCTGTATGGTATTTTACAGTGAGCTTGGTCAGCTCTGTCCTGTAGTTGGAATCCCTATATAATAGTGCCCAATAGTCATGTCTAGTAATAAATTGGTGTAAAACCAGAAGTTTATAACTAGGCTAAAAATTAATATAGTGGCCAAAGGTAGGCATCAGAGTCCATGAGATCTAAATTCCTATCCATGTCCATCCCTGCCCAACGGGCTTCGGAGTCTAGGAGATCTGAATTCATACCAGATGTATGCTGCTGCCCAGCTACATAAGCAGGTTCATTGATGGGACTCTTCTGTTTAAAGGAAACAATTCAATTTTTTGGGCCCAGTTTTCTGGGGAAGCAGAGATGTACCTGACCAGAGCTCATCCACTGGTCAAATTTAATTAAATCTTGCTTCGAATTTGGCTTTAAAAAAAAAAAATGAAACAATTCAAGTGTAGCTCTTTAGCAGCCCTGACTAGGGCTCCCTAGAGGCATAC